GCTCATCAGGTGTAATCAGCCAAGTTGCACCAATTAGCAATGTTTGACCTCTTACGATTTTGAAACTATCTCAATCGAGTAATGCACAGAAATCATCGACTAACTCAATAATGCCAATATCCCCCTCCTCCTCTTCCTACCCTAACAGCCTGTATGAAGAATAATGCTGCATCACATTCTCTATGACATGAATAGAAGCAGGTAACTCACATATTCTTCAACATCCCTACGGTTTTGTAAAATGGGCAGAATCGGTCATATGGGGTATATCCGTTCTGTTGGAGGAAGTCATCCTAAAGATCAGATAGATTAAGGTGGATAGCAGGTTTGTCTACGCCATACCTTGATGAGCTTGGCAACTTCGAGAGTGATCTTGTCAGATTCGGCGAGCGAAGCTTTACCTACTAGTTGCACGATTTCGGAAAGATCTTCTTCTTCCTGAGAGATAAAGGATGGTGAAAGCAGAATTCCTACCAAGATTTAACCTGTGCAAACAGGTGGGATGTTGCTTTGTGGTCGCAGTAAAATTACTATTTATGCTTGGATGAGCAGATAAGATTTTACATCATCCCTTTATTCTACCGATGCGATTTTGTGCAAGGAAACAAGGAAAAGTGGCTTTATCCACGATCGACAATATTTTTTCCGTTCAAACCAAAAACTTAACAATAATCCAATCGATTTTCATAATAAATGTTCAATTTCCCATTTTTAGCGAGAAATCAATGTCTCACCTGCAAAATCTCTTTGCATTTCGTTCGCAGTGCAACAAATTCGGGGTAGCTCTTTTCGTAGAAATCTTCCAAAGCACGCATGTATTTACTGAAAAGTGGACGATTACTTCCAAAAGCGAAACACTTGTTTTCAGTGTTCATACAATCATCTAACAATCTCATATCGCAATCTTTTCAGCCATTCACAGACGGACTAACGAGACATCGAGCGCGCGAGTAGTGAAGTGTTGAGTAGCCTTAGCAACGGCGTCGTGAGTAGGGCGGTCAATTCGGTCATATGCTGCTGACTCGGGTACATCAAATCCAGCGGGCTCGAATTCCTGTCGTCTAAGCGATCCCGATACCATTTTTGCTATCATAAACTACGCTTCACAACAACGGCATCTTCTCGCCCAAAATTGCACATATCTGAAGCCAGTTGCTCCAATTCGCTAGCACATTTTGTAGAAAAGTATCATTTGACACCATTCCTCAACGATTCACCTCAAAAACGAGTTGACTTTGATATGGACATCACACGCGAGGTGAACGGCATCGGCCACCGGGCCGGCCTCACCAACCTTAGCCCCACGTGTTTCGTTGCCCCAAAAGCTACCGGCATAGTCTCGCTCATTCTTCAATTCGCTATATTGGTGGTTAGCGTCCTAGTCGCCTTATTCTTCTTCTACCATGTCGGAGGCTATGAGTACATGGGTTGGAATGAGAACTCCACTATTCTCGAGCCGATCTCTCATGCAAGACCTCTCGACAGCTCCGCACTAGAAGCGCCAGTTACTGTGAGTCTCATTAAAAGAAGTGAATTAAAGTCAGTAGCGTATCGGCTTGACTTCTCCTGTAATATATCAAAAGGGCACGGTTTCACCAGAGCACCTCTTGACACAAAAATATTTGAGTCTGGGCCACTCAACGTTTCTCCAGCAGAGGAAGATAAAGCTGCTCTTATGGAAAATGTTGATACCAAACAAGTCGCTTCCAATACGAGCAGTCTTCTCAGCATTGAGCAAGTGCCAAACACAACTATCTATTTGGATTTCCTGGTGTGACTTCAACTATTATACGGAAGCTATTTCATCAAATCAGTTTTGCAGCAATTTCAGGATGCTAGACTGGATATGTTGGAACTTATACGGATTTCGACTCTTGTCTACGTGGGAACGTGTATTTTATGGCTGATTTCTATAGCTCTACTACTACTTTCAATCAAATTCGAAATCCTGGATATGGTGATAGTCAATGCGATTTTCTTGACCATCGCTACCATGTATGCCTTCGTTCATGCATTATTTATTGCTGTTTTACTTTATTACCAGGTGGGATGTTAATTATATAAGTACTATGTATATGGCGAGCGCAGTCAAAACAATGAGCCATTCCCCGATAATAGGCTAATACCGCTTGATTTCTAAGAAACACTGGACAGATAGTGATAAGTTGAATGATGACAAACAGTAGAGTATGTAAATTCTAGATGTTGGTAGAAATACGGCAGCTGTACGCCAAATAGCGAGATCTTCTAACGCGTATTAAATTGCTTTGTTTTCAGCGAGATCTATCATGGAGAACTATGGCTATAATTATTGGTTCAGTAATTATCCTAATATGCACAACAATTCTAGGCGGCGTTGCCCTAGCTCTTGTAGTAGGCTGGTACAGATACATAGTCTATATGAACGATTCCGAAAAAGTAAGTCAACATGTTCTTTGTACAATCTATAATTCCGTGAGATTATCGCAGTATGCGCCGTTGCTCAAAACATTCTTCTAGTGCTTCTGCTTGCATGGAATCGTGCAACTCATCAAGAGGAGAAAACGAACACCCCAGCAAGCCGCTCAAGAGTACGCCATGCCGCACGTTACTAGGCATAACGACCTTCCTTACGCAGATGAAACTGCAGTGAACAATTTCACTGCCTTTTGATTGACTAGAGTCAAGTACATATCATTCTAAGTCCAGCCAACGAGATTACGTGATTTACTGCTCAATGTGTATTAGCATAGTAAAGTGAGTGCTGAACCAGATAGCAAAGTACTGGATAGTTATCTTTGATATATACAACGATAAATAAATACAAAGCTTAACCCACGTTGATGGTACTTTGTAGATGTTCATAAGGTCGCCGGATCAGCGCGGAAATAAATGAAATTATTTTGCACAAAAATCACTAAAGTTTTAGAGAACTAATCACCGTTTTAACACATTCACGACAAGGCCGGTTTTTGCAATATTGAGTTTGCGTATTATTTTCTGGCCACAAATGGGTCCTATGGTCTGAAGATTCAATCTTTCGGGGAGTATTCCAGGAGATATAAACAGAAGTATATACAGTTTGCCCAAAAAGATTCATGATAAACAAGGAAAATTGAGAATTTCAGAAAGCGTACGACCCTACCGTGGGTCGTATTGTTGTGAATGTGTTGAGAACAACAACTGGATTCACACTTTGCGGTTACCTATCTTAATCGCAATTTTCAAAAATAATCACAAACCTGTAAGAGATCAACCAATTGATTGAAGGGAAGTGCTTTCGTTGGGCAAGCTTCTTATCCAATCCCCAGAATACCTGCACAATACCAAGAGTAGCGGATGTGACAGGATCAGCAAAATCTCCACCAGGAGGCGATACTCTGTAAGTCCATATCAACATTGCATGGCGTGCACGTTATTCACTTACGCTCCAACAATTGTGACCGAACCCTCACGTTCTGGGTTTCCAAGACATTTAACTTTACCCGCACGCTCGTAGAACGATGCCAAACGCGCCGCGAGATATGCAGGATAACCGGA